CCCCAAAACCCCAAAACCCCAAAACCCCAAAACCCCATCACTTGCCTCAAACATTGAAAATTCTATAGAAATATGTTTAAATACGATCGAGATCTTCATCATTTTCACTTTCAATGACAAATTTTTCTTTCATTGATTTCTTTGCTTCTAACTCAGGCTCCTCATATTCCCTAGTATCCTCATGATCTAAGTCTGACTTACGTTCTTCCTTCGGCATTGGCCCTTCAGGGTCGATGCCATAGAACTCTCGCATTGCATCTGGAACTTCTCCCTGAGAATTCTTCTCATCGTCCTCGATGCCTAGGATATTTTGAGGTTTCTTTAAGAAAAAAGAGACCATTGCTGATCCAAAGGTTACCAAGGTCACAAGAATGATGGGCTGGCTAAGTACCTCAGCCACCATTGGTGACACAATGGTACTGAACCTAGCCATAGTGTTGCTCACACCAAAGGCAGTGGAGGACATATCGGTCTGGAAATACTCTGAGTTTCCGTAGTAACAGAAGCTGAAAGCCACTGTTACTCCGTACCTCATAAGTAGCACTCATATAGCTACGAGGACAGTCTGGCTTTGAATTATGTAGTAGATTCATGAGATGACAAAGACAACTCAGTAAGATACCACAAAGCCAATCTTTGTGGGCATGTAGTACTGAAGTCCTCTCATTGAAATTGTAGCAAAAATATCAGCCAGTCCGAGCAACGCAGTATTCGAGTAAATATTTCCTTTGAAATACTTCGTGTAATACGATAACAAATAAAACGAAAAACTTCATGTGGACCAATTCATCATCATTATCATCAAATTCCTAAAAGTCTGCTTATCCTTGATCATACTTGCACAAGATTTCTTAATAGAAAATTCATTTTCTTTTAAGTGTTCTCGGTCAAATTTATAGCCGTTCCATTCAATCCCGTTAATCTTACTGATCTGGGCAAATGAAGCATGCAACTCTCCCCATTTCTTCTTCGTGTAGAGGTACTGAGGTGACTCAGGCGCTTTGTATACAAAATATAGGGACAGACATGAAGTCACGATGTATAGGACGATGGTAGATTCTCCATATGTGATGATAAAGAACCAACCTGCCACGAATATCATTGTGATAGCATCCATAAATCCTGCAATCAAGTTCCATGTCTTCTTTTGGATCTCTGGAACTAACTCCATTGCATACAGAAAGGAGATCAGAAGCCTTAGAGATGAGAATACTCCAAGTACTAGCATTAATAAGTAAGTTAGGATTATATTGTTTATGACAAAGATCAAGAATCCTCATCAAACAGATCCGATTATGCCGATAATAACCATCACTCTGCGTCCTTTAAGGTCTGCGAACCTGAGAAAGAAGGCTGAACCGATGAAGAATCCTACAAAATAAAGACTTCCAAAGAGCCCAATCACGTAGTCCTCTTTACATAGAAGGTCCATCGAGGTGATCCAATTGGTTACTGTCTCATGAGAATTATGGTTAATTTTATAATCCATGAATTGGCTAGAACAAGCCTGATCCTTATCACATCCTTCCCATGTGTTCTGTGTAAAGCTCATGCACTTCAAGGAGGGAACTTTAGTCAAGAACGGAATGCTGTATGGGAAGAGTCCTCCCAAAGAGTATGCCATTATAATGCAGAATACATTGATTGTATAGAACCTATTTCTGCCCTTACTGTTTTCATATCCTTGCTCTAGAGTTATCAGAGTGAAATCATCAATAGAGGATATTCTATTCTGGTTTTCAGGCGACTCATCTTTGATCTCCTAGATTTAAGATTACAGATAGCATACCTCAACTTCGTCATCATTTTGAGATTGAGAAGGATCATCATTTCCTTCGTTCATTTTAATATTTCAATAAAATTATTAGGTGAGGGGTTTTGGGGTTTTGGGGTTTTGGGG